GTTACATTAGTTCCATGATGTCAATATGATGGATGAAACTCGCTTCAGTTAGGACTAATATTTTTGTAACATAATAATTCATCAAATTTCAGCAATGATGGCTCCAAACAATTGGCCCTTATTACGTTCAATGGCTTGCTACAAAATGGACCAGAAAAAAACATTTTTGAGACCAGTCTCACAGACTTGGAGTGAGAGGTAAATTCTTGTTAGAGAGGCTAGAATGCAAAGAAATCGACACATACGTCGACTTACTCTATATGTAGTTCCATAAAGTGAGTAGTATGAATAATGTTTGTTGCTTGTTTCATTTCAGATAGGTGTTGTGGATTATTATTGAATTAGAATAGATTGAATTGCAGAAATGACGGCTTCAAATCATTTGCCCCCGTCACTTACAATACTGACTCTCTCCAGTCTCGAAATCTGAGGAAAATTTCTGATCCAGGCTAAAAATAAATCGATACATTATGATGTGTGAGTACCGATGAGGTAAGTTAAATATCAACAATATATTTCCAATCTGTAATAATACTTACATAAGTTTACTAATGTAAATATGATGAAAAACTTGCGTTTAGTTTTCGACGGTTATTATGAATCATTAACATAACGAAATATATTTTATTGCAGGAATGACGACTGTTGACCATCGTTTCTTCCAATACCGAGTCCACGAAATTGATCAGAAAACAGTCTTCGATCTGATGGCAAATTCAGTATTAGTACAATATCAAAATCATCTGTCATAAGGCGTACGTTAGCTCCATGATGTAAATATAATGATTGAACTAATGACATCTCATGTCATTCCTAGAATCGAATTATAATGAATCCACGATGACGTTTGAATTATATCGAAAAAATGCCATTCTTACTAGACATTGATTTTCAATCTATTACTCGACATATTTTTTCATACGTTTGTATTGAATCCAGCATGATACGAACATTTCAAGATGTGAATATAATGATTATAAAAAGATCGTTTTATTTGATACATATATCCTCAATTTCCTGCTCTGCGTATAGTATAATATGTTTTCTATTCATCCGATACGATACGTTATTCTGGAGATGAAAATATGACGAATGAAAAAGGACGTTTATACTACGCTGAAAGTTGGGACTTATCGCCCCAGAAAAGACCATTTCATTCCAGACAGATAATTTCTGTCCAGAAATTTACGTATTGTTCAATATTCTTGTGAATCATCTAATATCAAACGTTATTTCAAAGATGGAAATGTGACAATGATAAATTGACGTTTATACGACGCTGAATGTTGGGACTTATCGCCTCTGAAAAAACCATTCCTTTCAGGATATTTATTTTCAATCTATCAATTGACGTATAATATGGTATGTTTGTTGATCGTCTGATAGAAAACGTTATAATGAAGATGCATATAAGACTATACTGAATTGACGTTCATACTACGCTGAAAGTTGGGACTTATCGCCTCAGAAAATACGTATTCTGGATACGTTTGTTTGATGTTGACCATCATTTATATGACGTAAAATTGATATTTCATTTATGTTTCCGCGGAAAAAATGTTTACCGGGTATATTCATTCAATGGTATATAAAAAACAAATATAGCGCTCATAAGAAAACCGTAAGTTGCATGTTAAATCTCTGAAAATATTGAAAAATATTTCTGACAATACCAACTTCTGCATCATGATAAATCACCTGCTTATAGAAAATTTCAATTATTTTTTCTCAAATATTGACTAATTGTAAAACATCATATTGAAAAGGTTGACGCATCTTTTGTTCAATCTGATCAACTTTCTATCTCTAACCGTTTTAGGACATAGCAATACTGCCCCTATTAAATCGTTGGACCCTGTATATAAGATGTTCTACTTAAAACTAATAACTTAATAAAAAATTCCCTGTTGAGGCAAATTTCTATTTATTTTTGAAATATAAAAAATAAAATAGCTACAGGAAGTGGTACGGTACTTTATAATGTATCACCCAGTACATTTCCAAATTGATTGGGTAATTACCAATTCGTCACACAAAAATGGTTCTTGTGGGATGAAACAAGTAGTGATGAAAGAGGAGAAGTAAAAGCTCACATACTTTTTATACCAGGTGGTCCAGAATTCCAAGTAACAAGTCGTCATTCCGAGTAAAGAGTCGTCATTCGAAAATAAGAACAAAAAAATGCTTTCTTGAATTCTTTGTATACCAGGGGCAGGGACACCAATGGGCAAAGGCGCCCTCTGGGCCAGTCTGCCCCTAAAACATTGTTCTCGGGACTCTCTGGAGGTCGAGAAGACCTAATCTATGCTGAAACAAAAGGCACGTATTCAAAACGCCCGGATAACAGGCATAGGCAAGGTTTTAGACCAATCACAACGTTGAATTTCACGCGTGCGTTTTTCAATTTCGAATAAACATCAGTTTGAAATGTTTTAAAATTTGAATCATTCTGGACATTGGAGTCATCATGAACTACTCTCGGAGTTCTGGACCACAAGTGATGGCAGATTTTCATTACGATAAGAGTATTGATTTCCATCAACTCATTGTCAATAAATCGGAAATAGAGGTAAAATACTCACGCACCACGCACCTCACCCAATATACAATCACAATAATAATACCTTTGTTAATATATGTTAATATGTATAGAACTTACTTCCTCTTTGGACCACGAAAATAAAGGGAATGGTAAAACTGCATTCATCATGCGATGGGTTTTTTTTCAAAAATTTCTTTTGTTCTTACGTACTTTTGTCTGAAAACACGAATTTAATAATGAAAATGTGAAAAAACTATTACTTATAAAGATATTTCACAATAAAGTTACAAAATGTCACCTTCTTTTCCGCCTGTCTTCTGGCTCGCATTTATAACAATTCGCTCTTCTTTTTTCATCATTGGACAATATATGTATATCACAATGTACGACACATTTTTTTCTATTATATGAGTCAACTAGAAACATGATTTTCTTGTGATTTATCCATATTTAGTAAAAAAGAAGGAAGAATATAATTTTTCTACAAACGTCAAAAAATGACAAGGTTCGCGCATTGATAACAAATTGCGAAGTGACCCTTTTTTTCAGATTCCTACGTTACCATGATACCTTGCACAAAACAATGCGCGAAGTGAAACAGTGCGCGAAGTACCTACTTCGCGCATTATTGTTATGTAAAATATATGAGATATTTATATTTCAACTTCATGGTTCTCAATCGTGCAAACATTCACGAAATCATTCATTTTTGAATGTTAAATAATAACTTTGTTTTATCTCTTGGAGCGCACGAAAGGAAATTCCTATTATGTTCGTGGAACATCGTGCGTACCTAGGGAGGATAGGAGGAGGCCTTCTGAGCCAGTTCAATACTATTTTTTATATCATTATATCAAGCTGAGCATATTCTTACTTAAGAACTATATTTTTCAACGTTTGTAGAAAAAATGTTGTTTGCAACTCGAGCGCGAAATACTTTGGTAATCTCGACTATTCTTTAACACGGCTACGCCTCGTTAAAAAAATCAGATCTCGATCACTAAAAGGAGCATTTCGCGCTCTAGATACAAACATATATCTATATTAAAATAATGGCGGGTGTAATAATTATATATCATTCAAAAGCATTGACTTGATTAAATGGCCGTCATCTCTTATATGCTTGTTCCACTAAATATGAAAAACTCATGAAAATCATATTTCCGGTTGAATTTTCTATATAAATGTGTCATTGAAGAAAATCATGAGTAGTTAAAGTGTCCAATGACAAAATAGAAAGAGCAAGTAATACCTGTAAATGCATCTAACACGAGGGGAAAAAGAAGGCGAAATTTCGAACTTTTTCTGTAAATATCTTGATAAATAGTGGTTTGTTCACATTTTCATTATCAAATTCGTGTTTTTCAGACAAAAATACATATTAAGTACCAAGAAAAATTTTCTACAAAGAACCCGTCGCATGATAAATGCAGTTTTACCAAAATATATTTTTAGTTACAGCAATTTGACCTGAATTTCATTCTCTAGTTCCTATCACATGCTTCATCAATTGCTAATCAATATTACCAGACACTTGGGAAATGATTCATTGATCATTATTCGATGTATGACTCGGTGATTCAAAATCGCCAAGATCCGCGATTCGGATTTACCGCCAAGGCCAAAGTCGACCTGATTGGTCTAAATAAAGCTCATCTACTATAATAGGGTGTAAATTTGAAAACTTCCAATGCGAATATCTCGCGAAAGAAAAAAGTTAGAAAAACGCCGTTTGGCAAAAATGCTAAAGAGTTGAGGGGAACTAGAACCACCATATTTCGGTCAAGGGATATGAGTCACCCCGTCGGCGCGACACACCCCAACTTTGAAATGTCAAATGGCACTACCTCTTTTGTGATGCCTCAAATAAACAGTCTCAGTCAGTAGTATTCACCTGTACAAGACTTTTTTTCCACCCACTATAGGGTGTACGAAAAATATAATGTCGAATGAAATAAAATGAATTGTGTTAAAAGGATATTTTATTTGATCAGATGTTCAAAATGCATTCCATTCTGTTGTAAGCAATAGTATAATCGATGTTCAAATGCCATTCTAACATTTTGGAACACATCTCTTGGAATATATCGGCATTCTGCATTTTATTTCATTCGACTTCATGTTTTCCGTTCACCCTGTAGTGGGTGGGAAATAAGTCTTGTACAGGTGAATACTACTGACTGAGACCGTTCATTTGAGGTATCACAAAAGAGGTAGTGCCATTTGACATTTCAAAGTTGGGGTGTGTGGCGCTGACACGGCTGACAGGGTGACTCATCCCTTCACTGAAATATGGTGGTTCTAGTTCTTCCTAACACTTTAGCATTTGCGCCAAGCGGCGTTTTTCTAACTTTTTTATTTCGCGAGATATTGGCATTGAAAGTTTTCAAATTTACACCCTGTATGCCTGTTATCGGGGCGTTTTGAATACGTGCAAACAAAAGCGCATCAGTAAGTACACCATCTACTTATTTCCATCATTCTCGTCCACGACCCACGTCGAGTCCGCGTGAAGAGGGAGCAGCGAGTGTCGGGGAATCCCTGGTCTCGTTTATTTTGTAAGTCATTGTTGTGAGGTGAGTGCTTCCCATGTTGGCTTGTTGTCGAGTTGCCGTTATCTTTCAGTGAATCGTGAATCAGTGCAGTGTACTGTTTTAATTCCACGACGACAGTGCTACGAAGGTCAAATCCCGGTATCCCACAACTCAAATCTATGTTTAGGCACAGTGTTTAGGTATTTGGCACTTTCGAATTGAATTGAAGCCATTGAAGGTTATTGTTATTTTCATACTGTCAACTGATTGCCTATCATAATTTATCCACCAATAGGTAATACTTGATATATATGAATATAACTAGGACATTTTTGAAATAAGCGATGAATCGAAATTCACGGGGAAGTCACACCAGAGGTACGTACTTATAACTTTATTATAATCATTCGAAAAGTTCACTCATTATAATGATATGACGATCATGCAGGGTTTAAAGATTCAATTTAATTAACAATTATAGGAATTAACAATCAACAATTGCATGATAATCATGATGGTGTTTATGTATGATATTAATTTAAAGAATTAAATGTAAAATGTGTTTTGATTGAAGATTAAAATGATATTAAAAAGTGGTTTTGGTCTCCACAATTCATGAATCCATAAAAAATATTCCAATTGAATATCACCAAACTCCACCTGAACAATAACAAATCCAATCTTCATGTTCTGTCTCCAGAATTTCATAATTTTCAGTTGTTTGAAAGTTGGCCAAGTATAAAATTCTTAATTCTTGATTTAAATGACAGATGTAAATGTATAAACCCTTATACACTTTTCTATTGCTGGGTTTATAGATCCAACTAAACTAAGAATTAAACTAACAACTAAGAACTTGAAAAGCTGAATACATGGAAACATCTATGAGGGTTTATACATTTACATCTGTCAATCAAATTAAGAATTATGAATTACAAAGTTGGCCAACTTTCAACTTAACAACTAAGAATTAGGAAATTCTGGAGACAGAACATGAAGATGGGATTTGTTATTGTTTAAGTGGAGTTTGGTGATATTCAATTGGAGTATTTTTATGGATTCATGAATTGTGGAGACCAAAATTACTTTTTAACATCATATTGATCTACAAACAAAGGACATTTCACATCTAATTCTTAATTATTATCAGATATGTATAAACACCCTCATGATAATTAATTGTTGATTGTTAATTGTTAATTCCTAATTGTTAGTTTAATTGAATCTATAAACCCAGCATATGCATTCAGCCTTTCAAGTTTATAGTTAGTTTAATTCTTTTAGTTGAATTTATAAACCCAGCATCATATTATATTAGACTGAATAGAATTAAAACCACATAAATTGTGAGAAGTGCCTGAATCTTTCCATTCCCATCACATGATGATAATATGTTGAGATTGGTGTTTTTTGCTTTTTTGTATGATTATTTTTCGCAAGAAAATTGTGGAGGCCGAGTTGTTGATGTGAAGTTATCCCAGTGTTGCCAGATGAAAAATGAGAAATTACCAGCAATGGGTTCAAAAAGTTGTCAGATTTCACCAGATTCTGCGAATTGAAAAGTTGCCAGATTTCACCATGTTTCATTTGTATATTTTATTATTATTTATGATAACAAGAATTTTCATCAAATTCTTATTGAAAATAGATTTATTCAAACATCAAAAATATATTTTTAATATATTTTTGTTGTAATTGAATTAATTTAACACCGAAAACATATTTCCCAATTAATTAAATTATTTGAACTTGCCTATAACGCTTTGCATAAATGAGCCCCACTATAATCAGGCCACTCAGTCACAGCAAAATTGTAACAACCCACAGAACAAAGGGCAATAGCCATAAGCAATATGTGAATATTGGGCCTTTCCAATGGCGAGATTTGTAACAAATTAAGGGTGAATATATAAAAATATTTATCATTTAATATTTAAGAATCTCTGAATGCTGATTGGTTCTTTTGAATAATCCAACAGATTTCAGCCAATAAGCTTCTCAAATTCTTAAATTTTAAGTGTGAAATATTTTTATATATTCACCCTAACAAACAAGCAAAATGTAAATATAACAAATCAGACTACTCCAGACGGGGAATTACAGAGTTGGCTAGGGATTCTCCGACGATTGCGAACAGCTAGCGCGATTACATTTTGTTGCCGGTATCTTCAATTAAAAAGTTATTTTTTGTATCGATTTTTTTAATCCATATTATTTATGTTTTTGAGTAGCTTAGGTCGCGTATCTATCTCCAGATTTTGTAGTTTTGAAAAGTTTTTCACCATTCACCAAAAATGAAAAAAAAATCACCAGATTTGGTGAGATTTCCCCAGACCTGGCAACTCTGAGTTATCTACGTATTTCTAGCCACGCTTCATGACGTGTAGACTGTCGAAATTGGGATGGAGGAGATTTCGCATGAAACGTTGCCAAACTTCCCAGCCACGCTTTTCCTAACCATGGTTATTTAAATGTATGTTTCAGCAGTATTTTCCCTGTTACGTTTCCCTGATAGCCTAGAGGGAGTGCTACCTGCTACAACCATTTTAAGAGCAGGAAAAATTTGATCGCGAGTTATGAGCTTCATTTTGTTATTATTTATTTTCAAAATACCTATTTCACTATATAATTTCCAGAATTACTCTTTCTCGGAATAACTTTGTTAAAAAACTATGTGCCTTCCTGAATTTTTCGTCAAAATCTCTAGAATATTTCAATTTACCTATTTAGAAACTGAAATGAATTTGTGGTGCCGTAGGAGAATTTATAAGAAATATGATCTGTCATTTTTGATACTTTTTTTGGAATAACTTTGTTAATAATTCTTGCGCGTTTATGAATCTTTTGCCAAAATCTCTAGAAGAACACCGGTGTGAATCTAGAAACTGAAATGGTTTTGTGGTGTCGTGGGAGAATTTATAAAACTATAATCTGTCATTTTTTATACTTTCACTGAAATGAATTTGTGGTGCCCTAGGAGGATTCATAAAAAATATCATCTGTCATTTTCAATACTTTTTTTTGGAATAACTGTTATTAATCCTTGCACGTACATAAATCTTCCGTCAAAATCTCTGGAATAACTCAATATATGTATTTAAAAACTGAAATGAATTCGTGGTGCCGTAGGAGAATTTATAAAAAATATAATCTGTCATTTACGAGGTCATTTATGATAATTTATTTGGAATAACTTTGTTAATAATCGATGTGCTCTCATGAATTTATCACCAAAATCTCTAAAATAACTCAATATACGTATCTAGAAACTGAAATGAATTCGTGGTGCCATAGGAGAATTTCAAAAAAATATAGTCTGTCATGTTTTATACTTTTTTGAAATAACTTTGTTAATAATCGATATGCGTTCATGATTTTTTTTTCAAAATCTGGAATAACTCGATATACGTATACAGAAACTGAAATGAATTTGTGTTGCCGTGGAAGAATTTATAAAAATATAGTCTGTCATTTTTGATATTTTTTTTCCAATAACTTTGTTAATAATCGATGTGCGTTCATGATTTTGTTGCTAAAATCTCTAGACTCGAGAATAACTCAATATACGTATTTAGAAACTGAAATGAATTTGTGGTGCCGTGGGAGAATTTATTGAAAATATAGTCTGTCATTTTTGATACTATTTTTTTCAATAACCTTGTTAATAATCGCTGTGCGTTCATGATTTTTTTGCTAAAATCTCTAGAATAACCGAGAATAACCCAATATACGCCAATATACGTATTCAGTAACTGAAATGAATTTGTGGTGCCGTAGGAGAATTTATTAAAAATATCTGTCATTTTTGATAATTTATTTGGAATAACTTTGTTAATAATCGATGTGCGTTCATGAATTTATCGCCAAAATCTCTAAAATAACTCAATATACGTATAGAAACTGAAATGAATTTGTGGTGCCGTGGAAGAATTTATAAAAATATAGTCTGTCATTTTTGATATTTTTTTTTCAATAACTTTGTTAATAATCGATGTGCGTTCATGATTTTGTTGCTAAAATCTCTAGAATAACTCAATATACGTATTTAGAAACTGAAATGAATTTGTGGTGCCGTGGGAGAATTTATTGAAAATATAGTCTGTCATTTTTGATACTATTTTTTTCATGCGTTCATGATTTTTTTGCTAAAATCTCTAGAATAATCGAGAATAACCCAATATACGTATTCAGTAACTGAAATGAATTTGTGGTGCCGTAGGAGAATTTATTAAAAATATCTGTCATTTTTGATCATTTATTTGGAATAACTTTGTTAATAATCGATGTGCGTTCATGAATTTATCGCCAAAATCTCTAAAATAACTCAATATACGTATCTAGAAACTGAAATGAATTTGTGGTGCCATAGGAGAATTTATAAAAAATATCTGTCATTTTTGATAATTTATTTGGAATTACTCTGTTAATAATCGATGTGCATTCATGAATTTATCGCCAAAATCTCTAAAATAACTCAATATATATACGTATCAAGAAACTGAAATGAATCTGTGGTGCCGTGGAAGAATTCATAAAAATATAGTCTGTCATTTTTGATACTTTTTTTTCGATAATTTTGTTAATAATCGATGTGCGTTCATGAATTTTTTGCTAAAATCTCTAGAATAACCCAATATACGTATTTAGAAACTGAAATGGATGTGTGGTGCCGTGGGAGAATTTATAAAAAATATTATCTATCATTTTTGAAACTTTTTTTGGAATAACTTTGTTAATAATTCTTGCGCGTTCATGAATCTTTTGCCAAAATCTCTAGAAGAACACCGGTGTGAATCTAGAAACTGAAATGGTTTTGTGGTGTCGTGGGAGAATTTATAAAACTATAATCTGTCATTTTTTATACTTTTACTGAAATGAATTTGTGGTGCCCTAGGAGGATTCATAAAAAATATCATCTGTCAACTTTGTTAATAATCGATGTGCGTTCATGAATTTATCGCCAAAATCTCTAAAATACGTATAGAAACTGAAATGAATTTGTGGTGCCGTGGAAGAATTTATAAAAATATAGTCTGTCATTTTCGATATTTTTTTTCCAATAACTTTGTTAATAATCGATGTGCGTTCATGATTTTGTTGCTAAAATCTCTAGAATAACTCAATATACGTATTTAGAAACTGAAATAAATTTGTGGTGCCGTGGGAGAATTTATTGAAAATATAGTCTGTCATTTTTGATACTATTTTTTTCATGCGTTCATGATTTTTTTGCTAAAATCTCTAGAATAACCGAGAATAACCCAATATACGTATTCAGTAACTGAAATGAATTTGTGGTGCCGTAGGAGAATTTATTAAAAATATCTGTCATTTTTGATCATTTATTTGGAATAACTTTGTTAATAATCGATGTGCGTTCATGAATTTATCGCCAAAATCTCTAAAATAACTCAATATACGTATCTAGAAACTGAAATGAATTTGTGGTGCCATAGGAGAATTTATAAAAAATATCTGTCATTTTTGATAATTTATTTGGAATTACTCTGTTAATAATCGATGTGCATTCATGAATTTATCGCCAAAATCTCTAAAATAACTCAATATACGTATCAAGAAACTGAAATGAATCTGTGGTGCCGTGGAAGAATTCATAAAAATATAGTCTGTCATTTTTGATACTTTTTTTTCGATAATTTTGTTAATAATCGATGTGCGTTCATGAATTTTTTGCTAAAATCTCTAGAATAACCCAATATACGTATTTAGAAACTGAAATGGATGTGTGGTGCCGTGGGAGAATTTATAAAAAATATTATCTATCATTTTTGAAACTTTTTTTGGAATAACTTTGTTAATAATTCTTGCGCGTTCATGAATCTTTTGCCAAAATCTCTAGAAGAACACCGGTGTGAATCTAGAAACTGAAATGGTTTTGTGGTGTCGTGGGAGAATTTATAAAACTATAATCTGTCATTTTTTATACTTTTACTGAAATGAATTTGTGGTGCCCTAGGAGGATTCATAAAAAATATCATCTGTCAACTTTGTTAATAATCGATGTGCGTTCATGAATTTATCGCCAAAATCTCTAAAATACGTATAGAAACTGAAATGAATTTGTGGTGCCGTGGAAGAATTTATAAAAATATAGTCTGTCATTTTCGATATTTTTTTTCCAATAACTTTGTTAATAATCGATGTGCGTTCATGATTTTGTTGCTAAAATCTCTAGAATAACTCAATATACGTATTTAGAAACTGAAATAAATTTGTGGTGCCGTGGGAGAATTTATTGAAAATATAGTCTGTCATTTTTGATACTATTTTTTTCATGCGTTCATGATTTTTTTGCTAAAATCTCTAGAATAACCGAGAATAACCCAATATACGTATTCAGTAACTGAAATGAATTTGTGGTGCCGTAGGAGAATTTATTAAAAATATCTGTCATTTTTGATCATTTATTTGGAATAACTTTGTTAATAATCGATGTGCGTTCATGAATTTATCGCCAAAATCTCTAAAATAACTCAATATACGTATCTAGAAACTGAAATGAATTTGTGGTGCCATAGGAGAATTTATAAAAAATATCTGTCATTTTTGATAATTTATTTGGAATTACTCTGTTAATAATCGATGTGCATTCATGAATTTATCGCCAAAATCTCTAAAATAACTCAATATACGTATCAAGAAACTGAAATGAATCTGTGGTGCCGTGGAAGAATTCATAAAAATATAGTCTGTCATTTTTGATACTTTTTTTTCGATAATTTTGTTAATAATCGATGTGCGTTCATGAATTGTTTGCTAAAATCTCTAGAAAAACTCAACATTCGTATTTAGAAACTGAAAATAATTTGTGGTGCCGTGGGAGAATTTATTAAAAATATAGTCTGTCATTTTTGATACTATTTTTTCTAATAACCTTGTTAATAATCGATGTGCGTTCATGGATTTTTTGCTAAAATCTCTAGAATAACCCAATATATGTATTTAGAAACTGAAATGGATGTGTGGTGCCGTGGGAGAATTTATAAAAAATATTATCATCATCATTTTTGAAACTTTTTTGGATTAACTTCGTTAATAATCGGTGTGCGCTCGTTACTTGATGGAAATGCATGATAAATGTAAAAACTTCACAAACGATAAGATTTCCACAATTTTTTTTCAAACACACGACATGTCAGGTGATATACTGGTACAATGAAATAAACTAACGTTGGCTTGCTTAACTTTTATATATCTTACTTTCCCAACCTGAAGGATCATTTTGAATCATTAGAAATCAACAAACTCAAAAATTTTGACATTTTACTAAACAAGCCAACGTTAGTTTAGTTCATTGTACCAGTATATCACCTGACGAAGCTACTGTGTGCGCGAAACATGTCGTGTGTTTAAAAAAATTTTGTGGAAATCTTATCGTTTGTGAAGTTTTTACATTTGAAATGAATTTGTAGTGCCGTGAGAGCATTTATGGAAAAGAATGAAAATGACAGATTATATTTGTCTGACTGTTTAAAAACACCATTAAAATTTGTGGAGATGACTTCAAGTATTCATTCCTTCCTTTGAAAAATTTCACTCCACTTTTTACCAAAGATAACAAGTCAGATTAAATAAAAAGTTAACAGTTTTGGTATATGGTATACAGAATTGTCATGACAGGTATTTGTTTTGATAAACAGATTCAAGCCGGGGTCCCGAAAATTCTAGAGGTAGAGGAAGAACCCAACCAGCACAAAGAGATCCTAGAGATATCTTGAAGAAATCCTTTTAGGAAATTGTGATGCCTTTTGTAACTTCTTTGAGAGATCGCCGAGAGTGCTATATCTAGGCCAAATGTCCGCCACCTAGGCTGAGCTCAGCGAGGTCTTGAAGATATCGCACGCAGAAATTCTCATACAATGCCCTCAGGCGCGCACTTTGAGATATACGCTTTCATCGCCACTGGCGATAACTGAAAGTGCTCGCAATCATGAGCTGTTTGAGAAATTCGCATACATTGCTTTGTGACGAGGACATTGGGAGATTCGCATCAATTGCTTCTGTAGAGGTCTTTAAGTGCTCGCGACTACGAGCTGTTTGAGATTTTCGCACGCATCGCCTTGTGAAGAGAACTTTGGGAAATTCTCATCAATTACTAATAGCGAACTCTTCAAGTGCTCGCAACTATGAATTGTTCAAGAATCCGTGCACATCACCTTATAACGAGGCCTTTAAGAGCGATATTCGCATCAATCGCCACATGATCGCCACTAATATGGTAAGGTGTTCAATGTTTGAGAAGTCATTGGTTATCAGCAGTCTCCTGTCGGCGAAGTCTAACTAGCGCCAGCTATATTGTTTGGGGTGGAGTTAAATTTACTGGATATTTGTTTCAGCGAAAAAGATTGAGTTACCAAACTTAGAGTTAGATCAACGTAATGAGCTTTAATTATATATTATTCTATAGCAAGACATTGATCAAGTAAACTTTATCACTTGAAAATATCTCCGAGGAGTTGGCCGGGTATCCTTTAAAAAAAAAAGACGTTCGATATCTACCCACGAATTTGAGGTAGATATTTGATTCTCGATCCCACCTGAATTAGAACATTTTTGTCTTTTTCGTCAGAGCAGATAATTAATTATCATTAATTCACTGCAAAATTTGAAATAATCAGTAAGAAAATCTAGTATCTAGTATACAATTATTATTATCATAGATTAATGACTCCCATTTCATGTTAATACTGGGTGTCCCAAGTTATCGTAAAGGTACCGGCAAAAACTTGCTTACTCGACAAGATGAACAAAAAATAGTAAAAATGCTTCAAATGACATCAGAGAACTTTCTTTATGACTCAAAAAAAGTGTATAAGATTGGACAGCCACCTGGTAGCAACTCCTCAATTTTCATTTGATGGACTCCCTGTATATTGTCATTGAAAATTGCCAATCATCCCATTTCGGGAATGAACGATAGCATATCGGTACTTTGTATTTTGTTCATTAATAACAACATTAACAATAAAATTTTTTGACCTCATTTACGTTACATCGATTGAAAATTGCCTCCTCCCATGTTCGTAAAAATGTCTCACAATGAAATTATATTAATTATTACACTAGGTAGGTACCGTCTGCAATGATTGATGTTCTGCAGTTCAAAATGGAATATCTGTCATTAATATTTTGAAACAAAAATGCAATCCATACTTCTTATTTGTGAACTTCTTGAACACATGGGTGAAAGCAATTTGTCATTTGAGTAACGTAAAAAAATCACAAAATGTAAATGTTCTTGTTGTTATCAAGAACAAAACACTAAGTATGTGCTTTGTGCTATATCGTTGTATTCCAAATAGATTGACACGCAATTTCCAGAGACAATATGCTACTAAATCAGTATCTACCATCCGGGGGCTGCCAAATATACCACATTCTTCATAAGCCATTAGGAAGGTTATTTAATGCCATTTAATGCAGTTTTTTAATGCTTTCGATATCTTGACAAATAGGCGAGATATTGCCTGTAAACGATAACTTGGGACACCCAGTATCTGAATTATAAAGGCTATTGAAAAAAACAACTCAATATTTTTGTAGGAATATTCATTAATTATTCAGGTTATGTTTGTGATTACTTTAGGAGCTCGCAATGGGAAATTCTCGATCTTGTTACGTCCAGGATATCCTTGGGTGCTCGCAGAAAGAAATGCCTATTCATTTCCTGTTATAGATAACCTCAAGGATTCGCAATAATGAGGAATATATCAAATCTGAGGCGAGATCTCCGCGATTTCTTTCGGACGACTCCAGAGAGTATTTCCCATGGTGACAGCCTATAGTGATCTTTGATACCTCGCAGAAGGATTTCGCATTTTGATCCTGAAGATAACTACTTAGAGATATCGCGGAGAGTACCGTGTTACCTGGGAAGTGGACGAAATCGCGGAAACAACTCAGGAAGAGGAAGAAGAAATAACAACAATGGAGGCCTTGATGATTCCCCGGACACCGGTAATAGTCGATGCATACTAGATTAAAAAACCAGATACCTCGCCAGATACTGAAGTGCATTTTTTTTTCATGTTCATAATATATCTGTGAATAGAATCAGGGTTTCACGAGACTCTCGAAATTCGAGATTTCTCGTCTCGTCTCGTCTCGCCTCGATTTCGAGACGAGATCGAGACGAGACTAACTTTTTTTTTTCGAGACGAGATCGAGAAAAGCACTTCGAGATTTTTCGAGATCGAGAAATTATTTCGAGATTTCTCGATCTCGAAAAAATATATGTGCTGCCGAGTGTGCTGCATTAACTCACAGCTCTAAATACTCAAGAAATGAGAAAATAAAAAACTTTGCGAAACAATTTAATTGATGTATTGCTATAGATAATAAACCATCAGCTTGCTTGACAACTCCAAAATTAGGTAGGTATATATATATATATATACAGGCTGATTCACGGTGGATGGCACGTTAGACGTTTATGGAGAACGGGACATAGGATCATCCTGAAATTTTGGTTACTCACGTAGTTGCTCTTGGTCTATCGATCTTAAATATTTTCAGCCCTGCAGCGTTGCCGCTTCTATCGAAAAGTAGCAACAACTTTGTTAGTTCAAATGGAACACCCTGTATTTTATTGCATTTTCAGATTCTCTCTCAAGAGCTGATTTCATCGATGTATCACACTTGGGGTCTAGCGGAAATGATTACAGAGATATAGGGTGTGAAAAATCGACATTTTTCAACTTAAGGAATTTTTTTTGTCGAAACTATTCATTATTGGTCAAAACGGCTCACATGTCCCTATCTCAACTTTTGATCAACTATCTACTGACATTTAATTGAAACAAATACAGGGTCGTGCAGATTTCAGAATCTTGATCACCCGGTATATGTCCCAATTAAATATCAGTAGATAGTTGATCAAAAGTTAAGATAGGGACATGTGAGCCGTTTTGACCAATAATGAATAGTTTCGACAAAAAAAATTCCTTAAGTTGAAAAATGTCGATTTTTCACACCCTATATCTCTGTAATCATTTCCGCTAGACCCCAAGTGTGATACATCGATGAAATCAGCTCTTGAGAGAGAATCTGAAAATGCAATAAAATACAGGGTGTTCCATTTGAACTAACAAAGTTGTTGCTACTTTTCGATAGAAGCGGCAACGCTGCAGGGCTGAAAATATTTTAGATCGATAGACCAAGAGCAACTACGTGAGTAACCAAAATTTCAGGATGATCCTATGTCCCGTTCTCCATAAACGTCTAACGTGCCATCCACCGTGAATCAGCCTGTATACTGGGTATGCATTTATGGTAGGTATCATAAAACACATATTAATAACCTCAAATTAGTTGAACAAGTTGATAATGTTCGAAAATTAGATGCATATGAAAGCTTAGAGATATTTAAGAATAGAAATACAGTAATGAAAAAGGATAACATGTGAACTCAACCATGAATAACATTGACTTGGCGGTTATTGTCTATTCACGGTTGGGTGGACATATACTTAGTATATGAGTAGCCCACTAGGATCTCGACTAGGATAGAGCATTTAGTTTCAATCTTCTCCTGAAGATGCTAACATAGTTAGCGAAACATGTGTCGGGGTGTAAAAAATCGGTTTGGTTAGTGGTAAAACAGTGTGTAGTGTAGGTACATACATAATAAGTTTTTATTGACAGTTCTTCATTTATTCTATGAGTATAAACTGTGATTTACAGATACATTTATAATCAGTTCTTTATAGCAATCCCTCACGAACGTTATAAGTACAAACTCTGTTTTGCAGATACATTTATAATCAGTTCCCAATTAGAATTATTTATTGAAATACCTTGCCATTGGTGTGTTTGAAATGTTTTTGGCAAACACATCCATATTGAGTTCCCTATAGCAATTCCATATACTAATTTTATGAGTTCAAACTCTGTTTTGAAAATACTTAACCAAAATTGGTTCCTAACCGGAATTCCCTATCGCGAGACAGTGGCAGTTATAAGTTTGAAATGTGTTTTGCAGGTACATTCAAAATGAGTTCCTATAATGACAATTCCTAACGAAGTGCATGAGTATGAACTCTGCTGTTTTGCAATTGAATATATTATCAGTTCCTTATTAAAATTCCTCATAGAAACACCATGGATTACATTTTTTGAAATGCGTTTTGCAGGTAGGTTCATTCATATTGAGTTTCAATCAAGGTTTTTATTGAAAATTCTTCATGTACTCTATGAGTATAAACTGTTTTCTAGATAAATTTTATAATCAGATTCTGATTGAAATTTCCTTTTGAAATGCCGTGGCATATTATATTGATCTCCTTAACATGGGCCAATATATAATTAAACATGATATAACGAACGAAACATTCATTGTGAATAAAATTCGAGAAAAAAAAAATCAAAAGAAAAATGGTCGCCTAATTTCGGATAGGATGGTTTCCTAATTACTACTAGGTATAAGAGATCAGGCGCGCGTCAATTTGGAAGTTGACGCTGAAACGTACATGGACATGGGTGAAAAAAGTAATATCAGAAATAATTAAACTTCTTAGAAGTTGAGTAAATTAGTAGTTCTCCTTATCGACGCTGATATCTGAAATTGGAAACTCTCAAAGAACCGATATTATGAATTTTCACATGTTAGGTTATAGGTTAGTTTTCTGGAGATATTCCTTCCTAATTTGTGGTTATATATTATTGCAATAAGTGAATGTCAAGGAATAAGCAGTAGTATACATAAAGGATGGTGAAATTTGTAGCTAATATTCCACTTACCATCAAAAACTGCGATCAAATAGCACACAAACTAATAAACTACTCAGGTAGCAGAGTGACGTCCAATTGACAATTTTTTGGTCATAAAAAACGAAGTGGACGTCCAGAAATGACGTCTGAGAGACCCTATAATGACGTCAAAATGTCAGCCATAAGACGTCATAATTGGATGATAGGCAATTTTCAATGACAATATACAGGGAGTCCATTCAATAAAAATTGAGAAGTTGCTACCAGAGGGGGCTGTCCAATCTAATACATTTGAAGCATTTTTACGATTTTTTGTTCATCTTGTCGAGTAAGCAAGTTTTTGCCGGTACCTATACGATAACTTGGGACACCCAGTATTAACATGAAATGGGAGTCATTAACCTATGATAATAATAATTGTATACTAGATACTAGATTTTCTTACTGTCTCAGAGAATGTGTTCAACAGGTCATATTATTATCTCTCCGCCATTATGGAAGATCATTTCAGATTTTGCAGTAAATTAATGATAATTAATTATCTGCTCTGGCGAGAAAGACAAAAATGTTCCAATTCAGGTGGGATCGAGATTCAAATATCTACCTCAAATTCGTGGGTAGATATCGGACGACCTTTTTTTTTTAAGAATACCCGGCCAACTCCTCGGAGATTTTTTCAAGTGATAAAGTTTACTTGATCAATGTCTTGCTATAGAATAATATATAATTAAAGCTCATTACGTTGATCTAACTCTAAGTTTGGTGACTCAATATTTTTCGCTGAAACAAATATCCCAGTAAATTTCACTTCATCCCAAACAATATAGCTGGCGCTAGTTAGACTTCGCTGACAGGAGACTGCTGATAACCAATGACTTCCCAACAATTGAACACCTTACCATTTTAATGGCGATCATGTGGCGATTGATGCAAATATCGCTCTTAAAGGCCTCATTATAAGGCGATGTGCACGGATTCTTGAACAATTCATAGTTGCGAGCACTTGAAGAGTTCGCTATTAGTAATTGATGCGAATTTCCCAAAGTTCTCTTCACAAGGCGATGCGTGCGAAAATCTCAAACAGCTCGTAGTCGCGAGCACTTAAAGACCTCGCCAGAAGCAATTGATGCGAATCTCCCAATGTCCTCGTCACAAAGCAATGTATGCGAATTTCTCAAACAGCTCATGATTGCGTGCACTTTCAGTTCTCGCCAGTGGCGATTGAAGCGTATATCTCAAAGTGCGCGCCTGAGGGCATTGTAAGAGAATTTCTACGTGCGATATCTTCAAGACCTCGCTGAGCTCAGCCTAGTTTGCGGACATTTGGCGTAGATATCGCACTCTCGGCGATCTCTCAAAGAAGTTACAAAAGGCATCACAATTTCCTAGAAGGATTACTTCAAGATATCTTCAGGACCTCTTTGTGCTGGCTGGGATGACATCGCAGAAGGACCTATAAACGATTAAATGAAAACTTAAATTGAGGTTTATATTCAGAATTATATAGATAAATTATAATACACCACAAACCTTTGATGAAATTCTTTTCTAACTATTCGCTTTGGTGACTTGTTCGATGCTCCTCCTCGGCAGTCCTGTTCAATCCTACTATCATTACTACCTACGCGTCTCTATAATATCGTTAGCTACTCATATTTGTATTTAAAATTATGTAACGAGCTTCAGCGAGATGTAAGCTGAATTGATTAATTTTTAGCCAAACTACCCATTTCTGAGAAATCTTCTGAAGCAGGTCGATTTTTATTTTCAATTTACCCCATTTATAAGTAAAAATCAGATATACAGGGTGATTCACGTTTGAGTTACGACGTCTTCGACAATTTTTTCAAATGAACAACCTATAAATTATTCGATTTTTTAGAATCTCTATGGAAAACTGGATTCGAAACTATATACATATAGAGTTTGTATACAGTGCGTTCGTTGAATCAAGTGCTTTTCGAAGTTGAAGATAAATTCGTTAAGAATTGAAGGAATACATTTTTGAAGAAACGCTCGAAGCCGTAGAATTTTATTTTCAATCGAGCTTTCTTTCAAATTCAATCAATACATTCAGATATTAATATGTAGGAGAGATTACGTCATCGGTATTTTCATTGGCCACCCCATTTTCCGAGAGGACTGAATTTAACGGACGACCTGTACACAAAACCCATGTGTGAGATAATTTTGAATCCAGCTTCTCATAGAGAATATAGGGCGTTCCTTTTGCAAAATGTGTCGCGAACGCCAAACGTATATCATCCTGTATATTTTATTTATCCTTATAAATGTGTTAAATTGAAAATGAAAGACTCTCCTGCTTAAGAAGATATCTCAGAATTGGCTAATATGAACTCGAATATGGATGAGAATTAATTTATCCAGTACTTTACGAGAGCATTGAATTTATCAGACGCACGACTGTATACAATCCACATGTGTAACTCCAGCGTGGTGGATCACCCTGTATATTAAATTTTTTCCTTATTGAAATGACAAATTGAAAATAAGGATAAAGCTGTTTCAGCAGCAGATTCTTCAGAAATAGATGATTTGGCTCAAAATTAATGTATTCACTTGATACTTTACACGAATTCTCTGTATCTAAACAAAACACAAATTCAGTACAACAGACGATGAAAATGTAAGAAATCGACTGAATTTTCTTATATGGTCGAATGGAAGAATATACGACTTTGTAGGGACGTCATTATACCTTCAGTATCACACGTCAATAGGACATCATGAAATATGACGTCAATTTTAGGTCATATTTTAGTTAAAAGACGCCGTGGATAAAAAAAGACTTGTAATAGACATCAATATAACGTCTTTTTAGGTCACTCCGCTAACTGGGTGTAAATGAGGTATATACAGAAACATTCTCATGTTTTGACCATCTAGCGGAACTTTTTCAAAATATCGAAAAATGAAGTGAAAGTTTAAACTGATTTGGTAATAACAGAGATGTTTGATTCAGCGCGAAATTCGAATAGTTCAGAAGAAACGTCACTATCCGAAATATATGGCACCTATCCGAAAATAGGCAACATTCTTCTAGATTGAGCAAGTACTTTTCATTCTAGTATAAATTATTGTGATGATTATCTAGGTAGGAGTAACGACAGCAGACGCGAATTCGTAGTGAGAAGAATGCCATTCAAACAAGCAGAAACTCTCAGCAACAACGATGACGTAGAGGAAGTTGTACAAAAAGTCTTCAATGACAGATCCGGTTTCAAATTGGTACTCGAAGACAACGAACTCAGTGGCGATTGGATATGCCTCATTGCCCACATCTTGAGCAAAGTTTCCCGCAGCAGCTTCCAAACTACCAAACTGAAGATTTACAAGGATATCTTCGCTAATAGTTCGTTTGCTAAGCAACTGAAGGCGTTCGTTGTCGGTTTACCGTACCAGGATGACAGAGAGAAGAGAGGAAACAGCTTTTTCTGGAGAGACAGTGACAAGTTCTGGATGGACCTCATTGAAATTTTCAAGGATATTATAACGACTCCGACTTTCGCTGGCGAAACCTTACCTACTCTTCTCAAGGCCATAGTAAATAATCTCCCGACCTTGGAGGAAGAACAGAGTATGCATATATCTGAAGGTAATATTTCTAGACTTTTCTAGTTGCCCTGGTAGACCAAGCGCCAGGAGTAAAAACTGGCGTCTCATAAGAAGATTGACATTCCATATGTACCTCATAACCTTAGAATGGAGCTATTTAGAACTCATCTGCCTATTTGGAACTCATCTGCCTATTTGGAACATACAGGTGTTTCTTTCAAATCTGATGCCAATTCGATGAAGTTTAATGCTATTGGTTTTGAATCTTGGTGATTTGTTGAGATGGGATATTGATTTATCAAGATTTGTGACTTTCAGTTAATTTCAAAATTATTTGAGGTTATATACCTACACAATTTGTATTCACGAAATTTCTGGGCATTTTCAAATAGGCAACTTATTGACTCCTTGGGTATGTTATTGCTTATAAAGATGTGGGGATCTCCAATTTCTCGAGATACATAAAATGGAGTCTCAATCACATTTTCCTTGACAATAAGTTTTGTATATTTTGATAGGAAGAATTAAAATGATGACATTACAGAAATAAATGTTTTTGATACGGTAATTTGGAATGATTCCGCGAGAATATAAACGACTACTTGGTGTTGCAATTATAATCAACATCTTGGCTTGTACACTTCAACAAAACGGATGAAGTTGGGCGACAAGCCGAAGCTTTCGCCATCACTCATGGCTTAGAGCAGCTCATCAAGGAACCCACACGAATTCCGCATGTTAATAACCATTCAGCCAACACACTTGACTTGTTATTCCTCACTAATAATACAGCACCTTATATCATAGATGTACCTGCCATCAACTACTCCAGCGCCCCCACGTCTTGCCCAGACAGCACCAGATATTCCATGAATCTCCCTATCATATTCCTTTTGGAATATTGGAATATTCTAGAAATAATCTGGAATATTCCGGAATATCTGTGGAATATTCTCTAAATATGCGAATGGGAATTCCTCAGATAATCATAGAATATACCCAAAAGAATATTTTATGTTGAATGTTCCTGGAATATTCCAATAAACATATTCTAAAATGAAAAAAAAAGTGACCCAAGTAGGGATCGAACTCGTGACCTCAAGACTATCAGAGCAAAAAAAAACTTAAATTCATTTATTCGTTGACACAGTTTTTACAATACAACACATATAACATCAACATATTTGTGTATAATGGGCTTGACATATCTGTGAGTATGACTAAACGTCCCTCCACAGTCGCAGAGGTGGCTGGTGTTAGCCAAGGAATATGAGAGGATATGTGAGGTGTTCGTCGCAGTGACCTATCTCCTAGGAGTAGAAGGGCTATGTATGTTCTGGACCAAGCCAATCAGAGACCAGCATTTGAATAAATAAATTAAAAAAAGCTGCCACCGCTGGGGGGAATTGAACCAGGGACCTTTGCATTACGAGGCAGCGTATATACGCACTGTGGTATTCCGACCTCCGTAATATTTCAATTATTTTAATGCTATTCAAACGGGATATCCATCGGTGGCGCGCGCTTATCTTTGAAACGGATCTGTAGAGGTGAAGTAAAGCGAGAGATGCGTTCCAGAGATAAGAAACTTCGCGTGGAAAATAATATCCATCGCTGGCGCGCGCTTATCTTTGCAACGGATCTGTAGAGGTAAAGCAAAGCGAGAGATGCGTTCTAGAGATAAGACACAAGTATTACATCGAAATGAATTTATGGTGAAATATTTCCATGTTGGTTTTATCGACAATATACACACAACACCAAATGAAGCTTATGCTGATAAGAGTCGTGAGTCGTGTGCAGCGATAACCGTCACATCGTTGCCAGACGTTGGAAATTATTATTTATAAAGTCGATAAGGTGTTGTCAGATTTTCAAAAAATATCTGATGTTGCGTAATACATGACATATGACGTATGACAGATGGTGTTTGCAATATGATGCATGTAGGGAGTGGAAGGATACGAAAACAACTATATATTATAATGAAGTATTTTATTTAAGTAATCCTTTTCTACAAAAATGACATGCCTCTTGAGAAGATGGCGGTCCATCCCAGTGTGTGGTCCAATCGGGACGATTATAATGAACGAAGCATGGCAGTTTGATTTGTAGGTTAAAGTTGCTGCGATATTCTTGAGGAAGTTTGTGCCACACCCTTAATAGCCCATAAGGCTCTGCATATTCGATGAGACATTCTAGTGGAATGTACTGCAATTCTTGTTCAGTGAATTTTGTCAGAGTTGAAGCGGGAGATTTTATAAACTCCAATAACACAGCTATTTCAGACTTCATGATTTTTCGAGCAGAGCTAAAATATTTCAGATGCTACTAGTCTCGCGTCAAGTTGTATACTGATGAAATAAAAAAACGCATCACATTTTTTACAACATTTTATTCAAATCAGACATAACCTCATTTTTACAATAATAAAAATATTCTCTGAGAGCATTACTAGACATACAATCAGAAACATCACAAAATCCAGATATTAGCTCTTCCGCACCCAAATCAGTCAGGCTATTTCTAGTCCAATCAGCTATAGTATTCAAAATGTTCTGATAATACATGGAAAAGTCCAATTTGTTTATTAGCGCAACTCGATGTGAAACAACACACGTTTCAGCCCTCAAAATGTCTACAACATCCTCTTCCACCAATTCGAATGTAATGTGGTATTTGGTGAGTGACAACATTTTGACACCATCGCAAACGAATTTGGTTATGGTGATATGGTCTCCGCAGGTGGTAACGGCAGGATCATATTCATCAATGAAACAGGGCAGTGGTGCTTCAAAAAAGTCTTGTTGTACCTTATACAGCGAATCGATGAAGGCGGCCCATTCATATGTGGAGAACGAAATTTTCGCTGGATGGAAGGGTTTCTTCAGGATGATGCTCGGACTAAACTGTCTAGCTGGACTGAGTCCGCACTGAATCATGTAGGTGGACAACTGAAACGATGAAGTCAGCAGGAGGTATGATTTAGCTTTCGCTGCTTGCTCAACCATCTCCAAATACGTATCAACGTCACCATAATAATCCATCATTGCCAATGAACTAGTACTACCGTTTTCGGAAAACACTTCACAAGACGAATAACCAGAGTCGATACTCATTGCTATCAAACTGATGTGTTGGATCGGGTCGGTCCTCACTATTTATACCACCACTGCCAACACGTCACAACATCCGATAATGGTTGTTATTTGTCAGCGATCGATGTGAAAGGCCCCTCACATCCATTGAATTTGTGCTAGTTTGCCATATGATTACATTATAACTTGTTGGTGGAATCAATCCAGCTGTTGTGTGTATCATCGAATCCTAGCCATTTGACAAACACCTTTTTACCCCTCTTTCTTAAAACTTTTTCCACTAGGTAAAAATCGGAATTTTCAGTTTTTTGCAATTCTTCAGGATAAAAGGCACCTTTGATTGGTGTACCACGCAAATCTTCCAAGATGTATGTAGTAGGTTTCGAAATACGAACTTTAACGATTTTAAATAGTTCAGTAGTCCAATTTGGTGTATAATTCTTTTCGAAAACATGTTTGGCTTTGCTTATTCTCACAATGTCACCAACGTCGTATTTTCTGGTTCCAGCAATTTTGATGTGATTGTACGTGGATTTTAAAATATCTTGTTCGTTGGCTTTGGTGACGTCACTGGGCTTCCATCTAATCGTCGTATGTTTCGTGTTATTATAATTTTTCGTGATTTCAGGCAGGACATCTATCCAACGGTATGAGCCATTCAAACTAAAGTACTTGTATAGTTTTTCCTTCAATGTCCGTATAACACGTTCAGCAATCGCTGCCTTCATTATGGTGTACGTATGATAATGGTTGATGGAGAACTTTTTCATCAGACTTTGGAACTTTTCGTTGTAGAATTCGGTACCTTGATCGGTTTGCAAATTCTTGGGAATTCTGTTGTTGGCATGCGATAGAATATCAGCAAATGCACGAGCGATTTCAGCACCAGTTTTTGATTTTAGTGGTCTAGTCCATAGGTACTTGGAAAAACAATCAATCACGACCATTATCAGCTTGTGATCCTTATTAACAGAGGCATGAGGTCGCATTTCGGCTAGATCCATTTGCCATAAGTCATCCAAACCTTTGATGATAATGCGGCGCCTTGGAAATTTTTTCCTAGCAGGTTCTATGTAATTCATTGACGAGTTGGATTTTTTCTTTAGAATGTGACATATTGACTTCGTTGGATTAGGAGTTTATATGATGGGTTTCACACAGGAGGCTTCCTTTTTTGTGGCGGTGGTGTTGTCGTAGATTTTGGAGTGATGGCAATCTTGGCCAGATCTTTTTTCATTTGATCAATGACATCAGCAAGCTGGCGTTCTTTATCACGGCTGTGTTGGTGCTCAGCCTTCAAATCATGCAAACTCTTCACAGTATTGTCAATCTTATCGACAAGTTCTAGAATATTTTTCACATTGAAATCGATGTCGCTTTCGAGTTTTGGTAGAGAGTTGTTGCGAAGCTGCTCCACATGTATGTTGATCTTGTGCACTATGCCAGACAACTGAACAAAGTTTGTATTGTACGATGTCAGTTTAAGATCATGTACATCCACTCTCTTCCTTTCTTCGATTATTTCGTTGCTGAAGCCAGCAAGGTAATTTCGGATTTTTTCACCGTAATTATCGAAAGCAATCTTGAAATCTAACTTTATCTGCGATATAACTTCATCCACATATTGTTTGTTTGCAACATCAGCGGCATCTGTTGGCAGTTTCACGTTACACATCTTCAAATGACCAACATCGATATCACCGGTTGGAGTATGTGAAAATCCAGATCTGACTGTCACCATCTGAGCTGAGCGTGGAAACGAACCACGTCCGAATTTGTCGAGACTCATTATGCTAATGACTAAAATATTGTACGTTATCGATAATGGTCGGCACTTTGCCTCACCAATTAGCCCCGCCACTCATAGACATGCCATGGAACTGTCACGGAAGTGTCCTGGAAGTGTCAATGAAGTGTCATGGAGATGTCACGGAAGTGTCAC